TAGCGGGTTCACAAAGCAAATACTTACAAACACAGAAGCTAGTAACATGTTTCTTTCCTGCACTGCCCAAGACTGGGCTGAAGGAGACCTCAAGGGATCTTGAGTGCCAGTCATCTATGAAAGAGGCTTGCTTAACCCACTACAGGTATTTCCCCACCTTCTGAAGCCATATTTGAGGCGCTCCCTTCTGGCACTGAGCACAAAGACAACCTAGAGAACATCTCTCCAAGAAAGGTCTCTCTGATTTCACAAACGCCTTGGTTTTCAGGAAAGCACTGAATCTTTGGGATTGAGAGCATGTGTTTTCTGTTTGCCCACATCAATGCTCTTGACAAGTCTGACATGTGCCTGCGAGCTCAGCGAAGGTTTACTGCTGTGCTTTGTGGAGGCAAGTGCTGCCAGAAGGTCTTTGGAGGATGATGCACCCGGAGCCCCTGCGAGCAGCTACGAGGCTCTGCTGCTCTCTGCTGGGAAATGCGGGCAGAGCCCGAGCAAGAGACTGTACTGAGGGAAGAGCTGGATTTGCCAGCATGCTCTGGCATGGTGTCTGCACGCAAACACTCAGAGCCACCTGTACAAACGCAGACACTTGGGTGCAGTCTCCTCCTCAACGTCGCTGTCCAAAGCAGACCCACATCAAAGGCTGATGGTGCAGGAGCAGTCTGGGTGCAAGCCAGAAGCCTCAGCCCCTCTTCCCCTTGCATCCCAGCACTCTCTACTTCATGTGGGAGTTGGCTTTTTCCACCCTGCTGCACTTATGCCTGCTCTCCTCCCAGCCTGTAATGTGGTTACTTTCTCAAAAACCCTCTGGACAGGGGGGCAGAGCAACTACCTCACCATATAGGTAAGGAACCAATATGCAGGGCAACCACATGACCCACGCAGAGTCACCCGTCAGCACATGATGCGCAGAGATGTCTCACCAAGGACCCCAGGCCTCTTCCTCACAGCCTGTTGGTTTTGGTTGTTTTTATCATTGGTCCATGCCACAAAGCTACTCTTTGCTTACCAGACCTCAGGAAGGCTTTAACTACATCTGTCTGCCAGCACACAAAACCACAGGTCAGAGAGTCTCGGGATCACAGCGTGCAGGGAACCACGAGGCCATGGCCGCAGGTATTGACTGGGCTGCCGCAGCCTCACGGATTGTGCAGCAGGTGAGCTCACTGCTGCAGCCAGCACCCTCAGCCTGGGACCCGACAGCAGATCCTGCACAACGGAGGGGAACAAATTCCCAAGCCTCATGCTGACCGAGGCCCTCTGCTCCTTTCAGCAATGATGTTTAATTTTCTAATATGTTTCACCTCATGCATCTCGTTATGATTTTAAAGTAGCAGATGAAGCGACAGGACGTTAGGATAGGCATTTTCAGGATTTGGCTATCATATATGTATATTCACAGCTCAATAAAATAAGAAGAAATATTCAAAGTAAACAGACTGTGGAAAGTGATTTCTTCCAACTCTCGACTGCAGACTTGCAAGAAACCAATCAAAGAGGCTCGGGAGTGGTTTGAGTGTAATTTATTAACCCAAAAGGGGCCGCATTGTTAACCAACATTATTTATAGTGAACAGCTCAACCATCTCCACTGAACAACTGTGTGATACTGCAGGGACAAATGCAATGAGTTACTACAGAGACAGGACAAAACCAGCAGCAGGTCTTTGTTACAGCTGTTAGAAGAAGCGTTCCCAGGAGACAGACACTGAATCTCTAATGGCTATCTTATTTCTCTGACAATTTATTTAAGTTTTAACTTAACAGCAGGAATGATAGCCACTGTTACACAGTGACTCCCAATAAAGGAGCATATTGCTGATCTGCAGCTGGTGTTTTCTTATTTATTTCAAAGTCTTTAAGTTCCAGACTTAGCATATGGTGCCATATAAATAATGATATAATAATACATTTTTGCTTTCCATGTGCCTGGGTAGAAAAAAGCCATGTGATTTATCTTACATGAACATTGTATTTAAGGCATTATTTTGCTCAGAATTTTTAATGCATTTAAAATGCAGCTTCTGCTTTTTGTAATCTGTTCTTTTGAAAGAATAAACAGAGCAGTGATGTTTATTTAATAGAGTCATTCATCTTAGTTCCTTGTGCAAAATCCTAGCTTTCCAGTCCCAGCAGCCAGAACCCTGCAGTAGGCAGTGGGGTTGGAAATGGAGAGATCTACTGTTTAGCAATGAGGCACAGATGAAAAGAACACATGGGGCTCTAGATTTACCCACAGCAGGACACTATTTGAAGCCAGCAGGCAGCTGAGAACCGCTTAGTCCCGTCCAGTAAAGGATAGAGAGGAGAAACCCATGGGAGTCATGCTGTGGAGAACACAGCACTCGGATGGCTCAGCACACAACTACCCATACACACGACTAATATCAAGATGCCTCCTTCACATAAAACTGTAACTGCAGTTACCAGAGCAAACACCATCCCCACGGAGACTGACAGGGATGTAACTGTTCAGAGCTTTCCTTTCAGACCCTCAGTAAACAAGCTCTGTGAGCATTACAACTGCAGAAACACCCAGCTAGAGGGCAGGGAAGATATCTCTTAACTCACACCTCAATGCTTTCTGGATGTTGCTGTCTTAAGTTTCTAGACTGACTGGCTGCAAAACCTCATCAAGCAAAAACTTCTTGACAACTACAAGAGTCTTCACAGCTACAAGTGTTGCAAATGTGGGTTTATACCTGTACAGGTCACTGCAGAACAATCAGAGTATTTATAAGGGGCATACAAGACTAACCAATGAATATTCTACCTGCAAACACAAGCCTGGTCCATTGGTGCACAATTCCCAGAGGAAATATGGCAGAGTCCACTAATCAAAGACTGACAACCCCGAACACCAGACATCATGCTGTATCCTGTTCCATCATGTGAGGATGGGATAATCAGTGGAGATTGAAGGAGTCAGATCCTGAAATCTCCCTGAAAGTCCACCCACCCAACTGCCTAAGATTATTCAACAATTTTACCAATTTTACTCAGCATCTTTCAATATCTTCCCAAGTGAACACAGACCAAAAAAACCTTCACACTCAAAGAGCCAGAAGTCCCATGCTGTCTGGAACCATCACAGTCACATGGCAAAGTGGGAGAGGCCAGATGGGCTCAGGGGAGTCAAGTAATGATCTGGCATCCCAAGAGTGCAAACAGCTGTGCTCCAGTGCAAGACGATCTGAGTGGTCAGCACAGCTGACGAGATGGACAGCACCGTCATAAACCTGCACTGGATCAGCAGGGCAGCTGTTCATCTTAAAAGCTCAACAGCATACGGTGAAAAACACACACAAACTGAGCTGCTCTGAATGGAAGTGACATCTGTATGTTTAGAACAGCTTTTGAAGTCTTGTATTTCCCTCCCTCTCACCCCACATAAGCCCCCATGGCAGTTTCATCCATTCGTTTCAATCCCAGTTCTTGTCAGACTGGAGCATGAACCAGAATATGTCAGAAGCTGGTTACTGTAGTAACCTAGCACAGCTTTTATCTCTACTGCTTTCATCTCCTCTTTGGGGGAAACTGGCAATCTGTTTATTTGCTTTTTCTGACGAAGTTCATCATGCAGCACACCAACTGTCTGTGTCTGTGTAAAACTGAGAAGAAAGTACCTTTCACATGATTGCACATGTAAATATTTCTCTTGGCACTCTACTACCCCACCTCTTCCTTCCCTGCTTCCCTTTATGAGCTATTTGACGTCTTTTTCCATCTGCCCCTCCGTGCACAGCTTTTCTCTGCCCTTTTCCTCCAGGCTTCCTCACTATCATTGCAATTGATGACAGGGCCAACAGCAGCAAATGGCTTCGCTGGGCTTTCCTGCATCTCTCATAGGACCGTGGGAATGCCAAAAGGACACTGGAACTTTCAGGGAAGTATCTTATCTCCCTGCAAAACAGAAGGCCAGTGGCAGGCTGGGCTATGGGTGACCTTCCTGCCCTTCCCTGTGCCAAGGGAGACCCCCCCGACAGCTCTCTGGCTGTGGCACACACCAAGAGAACTCTCTGGCTGCTGCGAGGGCAATAATAACACAGGCAAGGGGGTGGCTGCCTGGACCAGAAGCAGAACCAAGACCAGGACCAGAATTAGTGCCAGGAGCAGGGCCAGGCACCACCAACAGCACCATCCTGGCCTGGATCAGCAACAGTGTGGCCAACAGGGCTAGGGCATTTATTGTCCCCCTGTAGTCAGCACTGGTGAGGCCACACCTGGAGTGCTGTGTCCAGTTCTGGGCCCCTCACTACAGGAAGGACGTTTTGGTGCTGGAGCAAACCCAGAGAGGGACAACAAAGCTGAAAGGGTCTGGGGCACAAGTGCTATGAGGAGTGTCTGAGGGAACTGGGGTTGTCTGGCCTTTAGTAAAGGATGCTCAGGGGGAACCTCATCACTCTCTACAAATGCCTTGAAAGGAGCTTGTAGCCACGTGGGCATCAGTGTCTCCTTCCAGGCAGCTAGTGACAAGATGGGAGGATGCCAGCTGCAGCATGGGAGGTTCAGTTTGGACATTAGATTGAAGTTCTTCACAGAAGGGGTGATAAGACGTTGGAATGGGCTGCCCAGGGACGTCGTGGAGTCACTGTCCCTGGTGCTGCTTAAGGAAAGACCAGACGTGGCACTTAGTGCCATGGTGTTATTGACATGGTGGTGTTAGGTCACAGGTTGGACTCGATGCTCTCAGAGGTCTTTTCCAACCTGCCTGATTCCGGGATTCTGGGATCTCCTCGCCCCCCCAAGGCGCTTCCGCCCTGACCCAACATGGCCGCACTGCACTCGCCGCCCACGTGACCGGCGGCACCGCCCGTGACAGCGGGCGTGTCACACACGTGACAGCGGTTGCCCTGGCAACCGCCCCGGCGTCCTACACCGCCCCCCCCCACCTACGGCGAGCGACGAGCAGCAAAAGGGCGGCGGGGGGGCGAAGCGCCCCCTACCTTGCCCTGCAGCCCCGGAGGCAGGTGAGGGGCAGCCCCGGCGCTGGGAAGCGCCTTCCCGGGATGCACCGACCCGCGCTGCCCCCGAGCAGCTTCCGCACGGAGCGCCCCGTATCTTTTTTCCCCAGGCACAGCACCCCCCCCTCCCGTTACAGGGATGGGCGCAGATCCTGCTCCCCCTTCGCCCTTGCCCCTGCTCCTGCTTCAGGCAGCGCTGCTGCCATCGGGACCCCCAAAACCTCGGAGCTGCCGTGGCGGCTGCCCCCTGCCCCGGGCGGGTTTGGAACCGGGAGGGGGAAAGCGGGTAGAACTCTGCCTGCGCTCAGTCACAGATGTGGGAATGGGAGAGCAGGGCGTGGATACAGCACAGCCCGCTCCGGCTGCTCGAGGAGGGAAGGGGTGAAGCCACTCAAATTTCGGCAGCTTGCTGCCAGAGAGCAAGACCGGAGCTGTGCCAGGCAGGGAGGGGAGCCGGGAACGCAGGGAAACCCCAGCACGGGCAGGTTGCTGGTGAGAGGGATCAGGGTCGGCCCCAGCCAAGGAAAGGTCATGAGTCGGGTCTGGGATCCATCCAAGGGACTTCCACAGAGACAAACTACCCACAGTATATACTTATAGAGTCCCCCTAGGAAAACTGGTCAGTAAGTGAGGATCAGGCACAGACCAATTCTGGTGGCTTGGGCCTGAGCTTAAATGGAGTTCCTGGGATCATGCAGAAGGTGCAAGTGGGGCCAGTCACAGAAATTAAAGCCTATTAGTGCATGCCTTAAGAGGAGTTGCAGCATATTTGCAGAAGGTCGCAGTAATGTGAGGTATCTGATCTGTGAAGATGCATGTTTAAAATATTCTTCATTGTTTATTTGTTGAATATTTTAGCAAGAGCACAACAATCATTCAGAATCCAAAGTGGAGGAATCTAGCATACTGCCAGCTGCTGAATCATCTGAGGACCAGACACCTATAATTGAATCCCCACCACCATTGCATGCCTTTCCTGGGGTTAAAACACCAGCCATCTGTAGTGGAATTCCTAGTGCCTGCAAACAAGCTGGTTATTGAGAAACTACCAGATTCTGAGGACCAGTTACCGCTCATTGAATAGTCCACATCCAGGGAAAGCTCACCTGAGATCAGATCATCTGTGGGTGAACTGTCAAGTTTTGAATTCAAGATGTACATGTCTGACTCCACACAGGATGGTAACACACCTGAGGCTGCATCAGCAGCAGCAGAGACTGAGTATGAAATACCAGAGCCGACAATATTTGAAAATGCCTATCAAGTGTCCATTGATTACGTGGAGAAACATAATATTCTGCAGATATTTCAGGTAAAATATATATTTCCTTCTCCTTCCAGAAGCTTAGATGAGAAGCTTGGCCTGAAGTTAGCTTGAACCAAATTATCCTGTCCCCAGGATAATTTGGTTCAAGCTTTCGTTCTGGGCTTTCCTAAGCAAAAATGTAGGAAAAGCAGTAGAAAAGGACCATTGATCACCTTTTGGATTTGGAAGAGATGCTTGCTTTTTAAAAGGCAGATAGTCTTGGAGCAGAAAGTGCAGCCACCCACCTACCCAAGGATCAATAATTCTTTCCTTCTGTCTGTCTCTGTCTCAGGAGATCACAGAAAAACTGGTGTACTCTAAGCCTGATGACCCCTTGCAGTTCATATTGATGGAGGTACGGTCTTGCTGGGGCCCAATGGGGACTGCCTGTTAGGGCCACAACAGAAAGCCAGTTTTGCTGAGCACACCAAAATGAGGGTCAACCCAGGACTGTTTCTCCCACTGTGTGTCTTACATGGGAGGAGGAAAAGCACAGGGCAGGAGCAGAGTGCCTGGGATGCAAGGGACCATGTGTGCTCCAAAAGGAGAGGGAGGGAAGGTATGGGAGTGTGGGTCAAGAATTGCGTTTGGGGGAAGGATGGGGTAAATGTGCCCTGGAGTTACCTGAGAAATGAGGGAAGCTTAAGGACAGGAATAGGGCCCCTCTGTGACCCTTCACCAGCTCCCTCTATCCCAGACTGGGAGGGAATACTTTTCTTGCCTGCATACCTCTGTTCAGGAGAGCTGTCTCTGCTGAGCCTGCAGGGTATTCAGACACAGCTAATTCAAAGTCAGACAAATGAGACAATAGTTTAGGAGTGAGTTAGAAGTGTGGGTTGCTTCTTGGGAAAATGAGGAGGTTAGAGAAAAGACAGCAGACAGAGAAAGAGAGTCTTTTCCTTCATTGCCTTCTAGTCAGTCAGGAAATGCACCATCTTTGTGTTCTGCTGCTAGGTTCATGGTGTACTGAACGCAAAACGTGCAGATGAATGGCAAGGTCAGTTCTGGGCACCAGTGTTTGACAAAATAAGTTCCCAAATGACCCTTTTCCTTTTCCTTTGTCAGGTGCAGTCTATGATAGATGCCAGACAGGCAGAAATGGAGAGAATATCGGAGGAGAACAAAGATGTGTAGGTGTTTCTAGAAGAGGCCTGCGCACTCCCTTTGGCCCCTACTGACCTTGCTCTTGTGGTATTGCATCATGCTTTTGTAGTCACTGGCAATAACTTGGAAAAGGTCTGCTTGTATCTCTCTTTCGTGTTTTCCCTGTTCAGTATGCTTCTGATTCCCCTTGGGTTTAAATCCTGCAAATCAGCATGATTGGTTTGGAATCACAAACTCAGATCTAGGTGTGCACAGACCCTGCATGCACATATGGCACACCTTGAAGAGGCAGGTCTGCTGAACTCCTATGGGTTCTATGCATACAAATGCATAAGTCCCATATTTAGGCCACTCCTAGACTCTGCTTTTCTGTGCAAAGAAACCCCACAGCTCAGGCAACACAAGCACAAAAGCAAGTAGAATTTAAGAGCAGCCCTGGACAACCGACAACCCTCTCTTTTTTTCCTGCTGCATTGGTGGCTCCCAGCTGTGCAGCTGTGCAGCAGCACCAGTGCCCATCTAATACTTTAATAGGCTGGGTCTGGGCTTTCCCACTGGCCTCAGGGATCCTCTGATGCAAGAAGCTGTCTTCTGCCTCTTCCACACATTGGGTGAAGCTGTCACACCCTTAATCAACCCTATTGGGTGCCAATCACTCTGCTTTTTGGTGTTGCCCTACTTGTATCATGAAAAGTACAGTGTATATCTTGATAACAAAAACAGTAAAGCAACAGTTGCACACACCCTTAATGGCTTCAGAAAACATTGTCACTCAGGAATGTGGGAGGTGAATAAAACTAAACAAACCAAAACCAAGCACTGGTAGCTCAGGAAATTCATCACAGTCGAGGTACATTTCACAAACACGTCATTTGGGCTGCCTTTGATTCTTAAAACACAATTCTCATTTTCGTACTATCCAAGTGTCTGTTTCCACCCTGATAAGGGTGTCTTTCTTTTTTTTTTTTTTTTTTTTTTTTTTTTTTTTTTTTTTTTTTTTTTTTTTTTTTTTTTTTTTTTTTTTTTTTTTTTTTTTTTTTTTTTTTTTTTTTTTTTTTTTTTTTTTTTTTTTTTTTTTTTTTTTTTTTTTTTTTTTTTTTGTATGTGCAATAGATGCCAGATAGTGGGGTTTTTTGTCACTAGACTTTTCTCTTTTTTAGGCAAGTGCTCTAATTTCCTGATGGATGGCAGTGTATTCCCAAATGACTGTCTCTGTGGCTATGAAGAGAACGCCATAGAAACTTCATCTATCTATATTTAGCTAAAAGTCTGATGATTAGGTTGTGTGGTTCTCTGCAGCACAGCTTGGGCCCAAAAAGTCTGGGAATAACAGAGGCAAGTATTTGGCATACAAATTCCATGTCTGAGAAGAGTTTCCTTTTTATCTAAGGTTCTAAAAAAAAAATCAGTTAACTCATGTGTTTCCAGGTAGGTAAACAGCCATATCATTTTAGAGCAGGGAGGTTTTTAAGATTATTTTGAGCCTAGGGGTGGCTCAAGGTTCAGATTCAATCTTGACTGGTTTATAAGAAGCTAGATGTAGACTTGGGCATCTAGGTCCCACTGAAGTGGTGAGATGATGCTTTTCAAATCCCTACTTATCTTTGGCAACTGGAAGAATCAGACACTGAGGTTGTTTTTCAGCCTGATATATTTTTGATCGAGAGTTTGTAAGCAGCCCTATGTATATATGCCCCGTCCTAATGTATCTCTGTGAAACAGGAAACATATGGAAGATGAAAATAGTGGCTGAAGCCTTCTCACCTCTATGGTCATTTGTCATCATGTTGTCCCAGTAGATGGAGAAATTAGCATGTCTTTGAATTGCATTATAGAACAGGATTAGGGTTCTTTTGGGTACAGCCTTAACTGTGCATTTCCTGCTTCTGTCATTTGTGTATTGTATTTTCTTGTTCTGTTTTACTTATGAGAAGCCTTTTGACTTGTAATATGTTCTCAGACTATAAGTGTATGCCTTCAACTTCATGTCATCATTAAGGGAGTTATGCAAGGAAAGATCCTTAATCCCTCTTTCAGATAGGTTGAAGTGACCTGGAAAGCAGTCTTCTCACAGATGACAGAAATTTTGCAAGAGAGGCCCTACCCACTGTTCCTCAGCAATCTCAGGGCCAAAATTTTCCTTTGGTGGCCTGGATACCTTATCTCATGTCAGCAAAATTGCTGTGTGGTAGCAAGAAGTCTTCCCATTGCACATAAGAGAGAGCATCTGTCTTTTCTGTTTCTCAGAAAAGTGAAACAGAAACAGTGTTTTCTGTTCATTTCTCTCCTCAGAGGAGAGATCACTCTCCTTTGGGGAGCAGCAGTTCTATCAAAATGAATGAGGCTTTACTCAGGACAGCTCTTTGGGCCTAGATTTGTCATGTGTAGATGGCAAGAGACTAGGGAAGACAGTGGGCTGAGGACAATCCTTCAGCTTTCGCTAGCTTTAAAAGGGGGTTGATCAGCTCTGAGCAAGGGCTTTGACCAGAAATCTTGGGGAACACATCATGAGCTGGGGAGAAATGACACTTGCTTCACCTCAAACCTCTCAGATGATTGGATTGTATTTTGAATTGCAGTTTTTCAAGCAAAAAGAAGCCCAGGAACTTAGTTTTATGAAAACAAAAAAGCATCCTCCACAATGCTGGCAGATAATTGTGTGTAAGATTATAGTGTCACACAGCTGTGCTTTCTGATTTGCTTCAGAGTTCTTCTGAAAAATACACTTTAGTTCTAGAAAAATTCTACTTTATAGTAAAGCACTGCTGTTTGTGTATAAGAAGGCTTTCCTGTGATGAAGAAAAGGAGGCAATTTAGATTTAAAATGGAAACTTTTACTGTAGTTTTAATTCCAGAGTGACTGCTCCTTTTCCATATTTTTTTTCTCAAACCATTGGATCCTTATTTCTTCTTCATAAGTGGACATTTATCAACATGACACTAAACTGTCTTTAAATTTCTTGCCTTGAGTGCTCTGAAGGAATTAGCAGTTCATTGTGTGTAACTGAAACTATTCCATATAAGTCCTTATAGCACACTAGTCACGGTATATTTGAATACCCTCCAGAGTGTGCTAAGCAACATGACTAACATCTGTTGTTTGCTCTTTTTCCTCTCCACAAGGGAGATGTCTGTGCACTGAAGTACATTCTTTTAAAAAGGGTGGTTTGTTGTTGTTTTTTTTTTACCCACACCTGTGTTGCCTTGTGCTTCTAATGGATAAGGATAGGTCATGGATTGAAAGGTGTGGAAGTTGGAGGTAATTTGCAGTTCCCAAGGATGATTACTCCTCAATGTGAGCTGGACACCAAGAAAGTACATTATTTTGAGGGAACAGATTTTTTTTTTTCTTATCCATGGACAAGCACAGAAGCATGACATCCCATTCATCTGCCAAATGGCATGATCTTATGGCCCACAGAGTGTTTCTGTTGTGAACTTTGTACTCCTTCAGAAGCAGGATGCAGAGGAGCAATCAGAAGGAAAGTATATTCACTGTGAAATAGGTCTCTTGGATGAAAACATCGGTTTCTTTTTCTGCCATCTCTGTATGGAAGTTAAAACTAGTCAGATGCCCCAAGCAATACTGAAGTTGCCTGTGTACTGCTTCTGACCAATGCAAAAAACACCCAGTGTTGCAACAGCTGATTAAAGATTCTTTGAAAAGTCCACACAGACTCTGCTCTGCGTCCTAGGTGGAGGGCACATTTTTCAATGGCCAGCTGCTTATAGCATGAGACATTTCATTGTGACTCATTGGATGTGAATCATTGCTACATAACACCAACTTCAAGCTAGTTTAATGCCATTGATTTCAAAGTTTCACAATCATGTGGAACTCAAAGTAGGCAGAAACAACTACTCAGGGCTTTCATGTCTGAAATGGAAGAAATTGACCTCTGGGTAAAGTCCAACAAAGAGCTCAAGAGAGAGCTCCAGCTGAAGACTGGAGGATGTGGAAGAGCTTGGAAGGGAATATACCAGGGCAAATTGATCAAACCCTGTCTGACATGCCTGTGGGTTGCATTCAAGGGAAAGCTGCTCTTGACCATTCTTTCAGCCAGAGGAAATGGAGAAGAAAATGAAGAAATGTTCCCTGAAGGTCAGGCATTAATATCCATGGCTGCATTCTATTTTGGGGACTGTCCTCATGGACAGAACTGATGTAACAGCATCACCAAAAGTTCATGGTCATAGCTCAACATACAGAAATGAAAAGGAGAACTTTGAGATGTTGGGGTGACATGGATTGGATGAACACTCACTCTCCATCTTCTCCTGGGGAAAGGTGGTGGGATGGAGTATCACTGCAGAGCAGATGAATTTAGGCAAAACAGATGCAAGAGATTTCTATATACATAATTCAACACTGGAAACTGACTGCCGACATTGCAGTAGTTGGTCTGTTTTAGAAACACCTGCTATAAATTAGGAAAATGGCTCTTCCTTTCTCCCTCAAGGCTACCATATCAGTTCCCCAGCTCCTCTCACAGCAGGGAAGAGCTCACCCTCCTTTGTCAGACCTTGCTACTCTCAGGCACTAGGAAGGACATCTCATTGGCTTATTCATCCAGGAGTCTGGGGTAAACTTTCTATGTTCCAGTATAGAAAACAGGAGAAACTGCTGGTGTCCTTTCATAAACTGCAGTGAAATAATACCATGGAAGAAATGAACTATGAGATGGACTCACTTACTTTTTTACATTGTTGCTTTGAGACCAAAAATAACCATCTTTTACGTTGTCATCCATTAAAGTGGCAAGAGATGGAGAAATGTGGAACTACACAGAGCTGGACTTACACAAGGTGCATGGCTATCAAAAAAGGAAGGCATTGTAGCTAAGGGAGTGCAACTCTCAGTTTACACTGGCCATGAAAACGTCACTGTAAACTTGCAAGCCTTTAAGGCAAATGCCTTATTTGGAATTACCTGGTCCAACCTTAAAAATCCTTATTATTAACTAGGAGGAAGGATCTATATTAGGGTTAGGGAGTTTGTAAGAAAAAGAGATGACCTCTGTCCTTCCTTCTTCCTTTCCCCCAGCTTTCCTTCTAGCATAAAACAGGAAACAGAGGTGTATACAGGCATGTGTAATAGCACAATAGTTTGTTAATGAGAAAAATGCATGTCATACCAGCCCTTGAAGAAAAACAGTTTCCACCCTGAGGAGCTTTTGGTGTTTGGACAGATGAGTTGACATTATAGAGGAGGCTATATTACATTCAGGCAAATGGTCAGAGACCCAAAGATTTTTAACAGTGGCTCAAAATTACATAAACACCATAAACAAACATCACAACCCCTTTGAGGAGCAGAGCGATGCTGGCTTTATCGAGCTATTGTTTAAGTATCCCCTTGGGTCTAACATAATATCCTGCCTCCTTGCAAGGAGATTCAGGGGAGGGCAGCATTGATAGTTTGCTGAAACCCCACAGTATTGAAAGCAAGTATTGCCCACTGGATAACCCAGCTTTTGGCCCTGTGATTTGAATCCTTGGTAAAGTAACAGAGATATCTTGAGAGACTCCTTGACTGTTTTATGGTGCCATGATGCCAATACGTGTTTTGTATGGCAGATAGGAGTGAATATGGTAGAAACTCAGCCTAATGTTTGGAGCAACAACTCCCTACATTTTGCACTGTTAGACATTTAAGTGTTTCCAAATGAAAAGCCCTTTAGAAACATAAGAGCTAAGGAGGGTCCAGCATAACTCTAGACAGAGCTACGTTTTGTAGCTACATTTCATACACCTCTTAGGAGTTGTTCCAAGCCTTAGTGGCTTTTCAGAAATCACATATGAAAAAATGTCTCTTGAATAGCAGGTTAAAAAGCATCTTGAAACAAAAAGAGTGAAACGTAACCTTTTCTATATGTGCCCATGAGAGGGCAGCACAGACCGACTGAGCCTTCTCTAAAGGCTAATAAGAGGCAGGGGGACTAACTCGGAAAGTTAATGTCCAGCCATGGAGCAGCTACAAATAGAGAAGAAACGGTCCATGTATAAGGTCTGGATTGCCCAAAGCACAACCGCATCCATCCCCCACCTGAAACTAAAACCCAGGTACAACTGGGTACTGGGTTGACTGAGTCAAACCCCAGGTGCATGGAAGCGTCTCCGGGAAGTTTGCGGTTAATTATTGAAACCTTAAGAGTTTCAGAGGAAGAGTATTGGATGGTGCCTACAGTCCTGTCAGAGCAATAAGTTGGTGTTAGACATCAGCCACACCCTTGCCAAGGCAGAGGCTGTCACCCCAGGAGCACTATAAATTCGCCCAAGGCGTGCATACTATTTATTTCCATCCCAGTGTCGCACCAGCCAACACCCCTCTGCTGTTCCCCTTTCCTCCTG